AGTTACATAAGAACTTTTTAGTCTGGAGCATAAAAAAAATTAACCATCATATGACTGCTAGTAATATGAAGCATCTCAGTTCTTCTAAAGAGCAGTTTGGCATCAGAATATTAGAACATTGTTTATCCTGTAATTCAAGAATTTCAGTCCTTGTTGTTTAGGGGAGTAACAGGAAGGAATGTACAAAGATAAAGGTTCAAAGGGAGATACAGCCACACAGGCTATATAGCATTAAACACCAAGAACGACCACCATCACTATGGGCGGAACAAATTACATCTGTGGAAGGTTAACACTGGATAGTTCAGAAAGATATAGCATTGGCAAATAAAATATTTAGGTTGAGTATATATATAATATTTGCATTTTTTCAGAAAAACAAATTCCTAATGACTTCTGTAAAGAAATATACCAAAATAATGGCAAACATTAGGTTTTTTGAAAGTCAATTCTTCTTTTTAAATTTATTTTTAATTTTTATGGTATGAGTGTTTTTCCCACATGTATTTGTAAATGCACCTATGAGTGCAGTGCTTGTGGAAGCCAGAAGAGAACATTATCTCCTGGAACTGGAGTTACAGGCGTTGTTAGCCACCATGTGGGTGCTGAGAACTGAACCATCCTCTGCAAGAGCAGCCAGTGCTCTTAACTACTGAGCCTTCTCTCCAGCCCCAAACATTAAGTTTTGTTTTTTTTTTTTTTTTTTTTTAATTTTGCCTGTGTGAGAATTTAGGTCAAGAGAATGAGATACTCTAAAATGAGTAATTTTATTAGTTAATAGGAAAAGTTTAGACTAGATCTCATCCATTCACTAGTAGCTGAAATTTCTTTCTTATGTAACATCCTGCTCAGTCCTTGAACCCCAAAAAGGACCTGGCTGTGGCTGTTATGATGGAAGATTACCTTTGCCTAACTTTTAAAATGAATGTCCCAAGCTGAACTCAAACTACTATGCAGCTATCTTGCTTCTAAGCTCTTCAAAGGGTCAGTTAACAGGGACAGTGACTCCATATCAGATTCAACAGAGGGTTTGGAAAACAAAAAGCATCCAGCGGTAGGAACTTTCTAAAACTTTGTGTGATGATGTAGCAGGAAAGATCATTTCTCTTTCTCCAGAAGGAAGAAAAGGTAGTAAAATAGAGCTTCACACTTGTTTCTGAAGGATAAAGCCAATTCAAAGTTAAATAAAATTAACTTTAAAGTTACATAATACTTAACATCGTGAGCTTACTGCAGTAAAAAATTACAAATTATTCTTAACTGATGCTTTGAAGACAAGTGACCAGGTGCCTTCACTCTTATCTTCCTGTTTTTGGCAGCAGGACATAAAACAGTGCTGTTGCATCCTCAAGTCTCAGCAGCCTCCTTCAGTTGTTGCATGTGACAACTTGTCTCCAATTTTTAAAAACATTATCTGTACTCTGTTAATTCTCAGTCTAATTATATATATATAATTTTTTCCCTATTGTAGTTCCAGATTTAGTTCTTGTCATCAGTTTTTATCTTTGTCTGTATTATTATTAGGACTATATAGGTCTTGTTCATTGCCAAGTTAGTCTTCCCTGAAGTCAATAATTTCTTCATACTTTGTTCTTTTGAATTTTCTATCTTATTAGACTTTTACAACTGGTGCAGTAGTTCTGTTGAGTCAAAGGTACGTGTATCTTTCAGCAGTCTCCCTCACTCTTGAACTCCTCACCCACAGTTCTGCTGAGTGGGCACCCTCAGTCTGGCCCACAATATACATACAGAGACTCCTTTGTGCTGACACACTAGGCTGTATTTAATTTTCCTGAAAAATCACAAAGTATAACACATTTAGTTTTTTGTGGTGTACTCTTGTCTTGCTGTGAAACATGTCTTTTTGTATTGTCCTAAGAAAGGGTGTTTGAGGAGCATGGTTTTGATCATTTGGTATAGGAAAATGCATGCTGGCTTTACCTTGACTGATCTTGTAACTAGGTGAGCACTCTAAAGAGAACACTTCCCCTCAGTACAGCCATTGTTCTGCTTGTCTCTCTGTCCATCCCACACCTGGAGTTTTCACACCCAGATTCTGCTTGGTCTCTTTGGGCCATGTGCTTTTTATCTCTGGAGTTCTGGACACTGTCTGTCCCTGATGGTCTCTCATGCTTTTTGGTTATGTGACTTTCTGTGAAGGTCTTTCTCTTAGACTGAGCCCTCATGCTTTTCTGCTGTTGAACTTTGTGTCCTGCAGTCTCTGAAATAGTCTCCTGTTTTTTTCTTTAAGAGCTTCCTTTTTCTGCTTTCTTGATGAAAGTCCTGCTACTCTAATTTTGACTACTGGGCTGATTTGCTTGTTTTCTTATGCATCTTTGAATTTTTTTAAATTCTATTTGCTTGGAAATACCTACTCTTATTTTCCAAACTTTTTTGATTGTACAAAAACTGATTTTTAGACTGAAGAAGATGGATTATTTCAAACGTATGTGTGTGTGCGTGCGTGCGTGCGTGTGCGCGTGTGTGTAGTTTTAATAATTGCATACTGTTTTTCCTACAAATGCACCATAATTTATTTAACCAGTTTCCTGAAGGTGGACAGGCTAGTTAATGTCCATTTGTTTTCTATTGCTAACAATGAGTTATGGCGATAATCAAGTCGAAGGTATTACATTTTAAAGATTGATTGCTTTTGCCAAATAGCTCTCCAGAAGTATCTGACTATTAACACCCTGTCAACAATCTGTGGCAGTTCTTTTTATTCTTCTACTTCCAGCTATAGGCATCAACAAAATGTGAATATTTTTGGCAGGCTGATCAGAGAATTGCTCATCTTGTGCTTTTAATTTGTAGCCTTTTAGTTGTAAGTGAAACTATTTGCATATATACCAACCGTTTATAACATTTATTTTCCTGATGATGAGCAATTTTTATGTATTTGCTGTCTTTCTGTTGTGGTTTTCATCTTTCTCTATTGATAATATGAGGCTTAATAAGGAAGAAAGCCTTCTCACTTATGTAGTAAGTGTGTTTGTTTGGGTCTTTCATCTTGCATATAGAAATATTTACCACTCTGAAGCTTTAAATTTTTATGTAATCAAATTGATCAATCTTGTCTTTTATTGGTTTGAGTTTGGTCTCTTGCCTTGAATATATACGTGTGTGTGTGTGTGTGTGTGTGTGTGTGTGTGTGTGTGTTGGGATTTATCAGCTTGAGAATAGTTACTGCTTTGTAAAAATTAATTTATATTTATCAGATAAATCTAATTGTCAAACTTGATTTTAAAGTAAAATACATGAAAGTATTCCAGTACCTTTTGCTGTAAAAGATAATAAATATATACACACCTAAAAGTAGGTAGCTGATACCTAGTAATATTCACTAAAAGACCAACTGCCCTTTCCTTTGGTGATAGTAAAGATGTCAGTCCTGACCACTTTATAATTATCTTTAAGAGGTACTATAATTACTTAGAAGAAAGACTTTAAAAAATGCTTTAGTGCAGGGATATTTTGTACATTTACTTTGGATATGTTTCTAGCAGGGCAGTATACTTTTATTTAAAAAGAAGCCTTTTTATTTTTAAATCCCTACTTTGTGTCTACTTCAAAGGTCTTTCTCTTCACTCTTCTTATCTCCCCTTCCTCCCCTCCCTGATTTTTAAATTACCTCAGCAGTGTTTATGCGTGTTTGATTTGCTTGCATGAAGGTGTTATAACATGGTTCCTGTACTCAAACTGCTCCTAGCATTGAAGGATATGCACAATGTACTTGTGGAACTCTTGTCCCCAGATGTGCTTTTGGTAAGGCAGTTATTGATTTTTAGATAATTTGAAGGTTTCTTTTATCTCAAAGTATGAGTGAAGTCTTTTAAAACAATTGAAATGATTTACTGGGCAGTAAATATACGGTGTAAATTAGAGGTGAATGCAAAAATGTTCATGCTGTGGACAGAAATTTTACAGTGGGAATTTTTATGATTCTGTCTCTCTGTTATCTAGGTTCACTTTGATGGCTGGAGTAGTACCTATGACTACTGGATAGATGCTGATTCTCCTGATATTCATCCTGTAGGCTGGTGTTCCAAAACTGGACATCCTCTTCAGCCTCCCCTGAGTAAGAGACTCATTGATAACTTGACACGTTTTCATTTTCTTGAATGATGTGCTTAATTTTGTCTCTTTTTTTCCTTTTCTCTCTATTGTATATTACCTCTATAATCCTCTTAACTATATTTTTAATTGCTACCAGCACAAAAGTATAAAAGAAAATCAATCATATTATCTGAAGCAATAAAGTATGTTGCAGTCTTATTTAGAAACAATCAATTTTTTTAAAAATTAGTTTTAAAAGATAATTTGTCAGACTTAAAATTTCAGTATCCTAATAATGACTTTATACTATAGCCTTAAAAATGCTACCATTGAGAGAAACTTGAAAATATATAAATATATACCTTTAATCTATAGTTATTGCAATAAAAGTTCTAATTCAATTCAATAAAATATACACAGGGAACTTATATCATAATCTCAGTGTTGGAGAATATATACCATATCTTGTAGGAAAAATATGGGAAATACAGTATTCTATAGTTAAATTTTTGTCTTTTCTATTTATTTTTCTTTTATGTGTATGAGTGTTTTACTTCCATATATGTAAGTGCACCACATGTATGCAGTGCTCACTGAAGTCAGAGAAGGGCTGTCAGATCACTTAGAACTGAAGTTATAGATAGTTGTGAGCTGCCATGTGGGTGCTGGGAACCTAACCCAGGTACTCTTCAGGAGCAGCCAGTGCTTTTAGCTGCTGTGCCATTTCTCTAGCCCCTATAGTTGGGTTTTAAAAAACATTAGTGTTTTTTCCCTATATAGTAAGTAGTTTTACTTATGGGAGCTACAAACAAACTATGAGGGCATAACAATATACATACATATTTCTGATTGCAGTAGATCTAAAATAAAAGAAAATAGAAGCAAATATGGGCTAAAGAAATTATGGCATATTATAGAGTACCTATGACAACAAAAGCTTAAAAAATAATCAATATTGTAAAATATTTAAGACAGTGTAAAAACCAGAGGAGAGTATTTCAGGTACACATCTATATTGTGCCTGTTAATGTAGCAAAATAAAAATCTGCAGACTACATACATGCATAGAAAAGTTGTGCATATGCATGCTAGAGCCACATCTAGGAGGGCATGCACCTGCACTGGTGTGGTCAGGATGAGGGAGAGTCTGAATGAAGAAGGCCACTGGTGTTTGTGCTGGTACTGCAGGTAGCTCTAGCAGATTCAGCGTGGTGCTCCTATTCCATACTACACTATGTAGGATTTGAAGTTCTCACATTGAATGTTCTAATGCAATTTGTTGTTTGATAAAACTCTTTCAGATGTTCTCATCAATTCATATTTAAATATCACCATTGTCTGACATTTTAAAAGAAGGTTAAGTTGAAGTTTACCATTTCAGTATAGTAGAAATATAAATTGTGAGACAGAGTCATGGAGAAAAATCTTTAAAGCTAGAGATGTTTCAGATATTTTTAAGCTTTGTAAGAGCTACTTTTTTTCTGTAGGTGTGCATTGATTCAGACCTTTTCTTTCCCTCCCTGTTCTGACCCTACACACTTAAATCTTATAGCCTTCTGTTCAACTTTTTGTGCTCTTTTTCTTTTTCTTTTTCTTTTGCTTTTTTATAGGCCCTATAGAATTAATGGAACCATCAGAAACTGGGGGATGTCCAACTCTGGGATGTAAGGGGATCGGCCATTTTAAAAAATCAAGGCACCTAGGCCCACAGAGGTATGTGCTTGCTGCTTCTCACATGGGGACTTTATACATGGTTGTACTTTATACATGTATACTTTATACATGTAGCCTGGTCATGAATGTAGATGTTTTCCTTCTATAAGAAATAGATGTAAACTAATTTTATATTCAGAGCCATAAGAAATGTGGTTACCATGGTGACTGTAAAAATGGAGGATATAAGCTAAAGTTAAATCTTCCTGAGAGAACACACATTTACTGTTTAAAATAGATTTACTTTAGTTATTTGGCTTTTCTGGGCAGCTTGGCTAGTTTTACAGATCCATAGATTCTAAATATGGTTGACCAAATAATGGCAGACCCCTGTTGAATTATATAGCAGAATAGTATGTGATGGGTGACTTTAACAGTTTGAATAATGAGAGATGAGATCATTATAGCTTAGCAGCGAACATCACAGAGCAAATATCATCAAATGTAAGAATGTAATGGTCAAAAAGGGTTTTTTTTAATATTTTATTATTTTTATTTTATGTGTATGAGTGTATTGCCTGCATGTATGTAAGTGCACCCATGTCATATAATGCCCAAGGAACTCAGAAGAAGGCATCAGATTCCCCTGGAACTGGAGTTATGGGCAGTTGTTAGCCTGCATTGAGCTGCATTGTGGGATCTGGGAATTGAACCCAGTTCCTCTGCAAGAGCAGCCACTGCTCTTAACCACTGAGCTACCTATACAACCCCAGAAAAGGGGGTTTTTTAAATATTTTTTTCACTTATCCCTAAGTAACTTAGAAACCAAATCTCTAATTACAACTAGATGTTCAGGTGATTTGGGAATCTTTGTAGACATTTTAAAAATGCTACTGAAATGTTCATAAATTCCTGTCACTTAATAGGACTTTTAAGGAACAAAAGCATCACCCATTTAAGTATGTATTAAAATGGTAATAATTCTCAGTATAAATGATTTCTCATTTGCCTAATTTGAACAAGTCATGAATCTGGTTCTTTAAAAAAATTCTGAAATTTTAGGCTGGACAGATGGCCCAGCAGGTAAAGGCACTTTTCACCAAGCCTGACATTCCTGAGTTCGATCCCCAGGACTGACATGATGGAAGGAGAGAACTGAACCTTGAAAGTTGTTGTCTGTCTTCTGTGTGAATACACACACACACTTTTTTTTTTAGTTTCTTAAGTTTTAGTGAATATTTTTCTAAAAAAGAATTAATAGGAATTGTAAAATTGGTGTATTATTTCACCTGAATATAGTTTCTTCTTCATCTCTGTAGCCAAGAGTCCTGCCTGTCTTCTTCACACCAGTCCTCACCACATTTATTTATTATGTATGTGGGGAGGGGAGGGGGTGCAGGTAGAGTTCGCATGTGGAAGTCAGAGGCAGCTTGAGGGCTTGGTTAGTTCTCTCCTTCCACATCTAGACCCAGGGATAGAACCCAGGTGGTCAGGCACTCTTGCTGACCTCTGTTTCTTTCTTCTTTTTTTTTTTTTTTTAATGAGGTTTAATAATATGTTCCTGAATAAAAAAAATCTGTGCACAAACAGATTATCCCATTTGTAAATACCCATTTAAAAATCCTGTGTCACTTGTATGGTTGCAAACCAGAGTTACAGCATTAATTTAAACTGTATTGAGAATGCTACATCTTAGAAGTTACTCTATATGCCACATGAAGGCAGCTGGATTGCTTTTCAGCCAACCAACTGATAAGTCTAAATGCAAGAAAAAGTTCATGAGCATACAAAATCTCCAATGTATATTCACAAACTCTTTGGTTCAGCAAATATTTTGGAAGAGCAGTTTCTTCAGTAACCGCGTGTAACATTTATTGAGCATTTATTTACTTTGTGTTAATGATTTCTCTAGTTGCTTAACATGTATCAGATAGTTTTCAGAACAACTCTCTGCGATAGGAACTGTTATTTTCCTATAGCATGTGGTGAGACCATTGTGACTAGGAATTTTAGTAATTCGTCTTCCTTAACGAAGTGAAGGGGGAGCTCAGGGGTCTGGTCTTGACCTCTGCTCCCTCACTGCCTCTCATGACACTGCTTCATGAATTGGCTCATACATTTCTCAGGCTCATACATTTCTAGAAGTACAGAATTTGGTTAAAATACAGAATACAAAATATAGCCAAAATGAGGATCTTTGGCTTGTCTACCTCTCTACTGTACAGTCCTATGATGTTCATTAGACTAGAGGCAGTTTGCTCAAATCATGAAAAAAAAAAAAAGAAATTTAAAAATTAGGTGAATGCTGACAGTATGTTGTTGGGATACAGTTGAATATTTACAAGTTATCTATGACTTTCTAGAAGGAAACCCCCCTTATAGCACTGTGCATAAGCTTATCAGCAGTGCTTTAGGTCCAAGTAGGAAAATCTGTCTATGGCAGCAAGGTCTGTGGTGACAGTCATGTCCCTTTCCAGTCACTTGGCCACTTGTCATGACAGCCTTTCCCCCAAGTTCCCACTTCCTATAGTTAGTGCTTTCTTTGGGACATTTCCTTATGGATTGCACACAACAAGCAGTCATACTAGAAGGGAGAAATTATGGGAAAATTTGCAGAATGCAGAAATGTGGTAGGTTAACTCAGAGCAGTTGGGACCAACTAGAGAACTCATTTTCTTAGAGTGGCAGAAATGTATCTTATAAAAGAAATGAAACTTGAGGAAGAAGCTGTCTTCGCTTCCTTGTGCTACAGGGCATAGCTAGTGGGTTCTTTGCCTTGTACAGAATTGGCAGGCTGTATCCCTGGACAGAGGAATGAAATTAACACAACCAGTGGCAGGTTCCAGGTTCTGCTATCCACCCTTCCTAGACTGTACACAGGTTTTCTTTACTCCCTGAGCATTCTGTCCTATTTACAATGCTCTATGCTGCCTCTCTGGCAGGATATTAATCCTTAACAGGCCCAACCTGTTTTCCATTTTATTAGTATACTGTGGACTAGCTTGCTGCATCATGACTGTTCTTTGGAAGGTTCATTTCGCTGGCACTTATTTCTGTCCTTGCTAAGAATGCTGTCTTTAGGAAAACATAATGAGAAAATTCCTTTTGGATTAATTTACTGAAAAATGGAATAAATCAAAACATACACTCTTTGCTTAGATAACAAAGAAAGTTGCCCTTTTAGGAAGAATAGTCAGTTTTATAAACACATAAGCAAAAGACTGTGTTTTGACTAGCATTTGCTGTTACTGTCTCTGAAGATTACAAATTGTGTTTGATATAAAAAATGTTAGGAGCAGCATGTGCATCTCAGTAATGAAGTTTGAAGATGTGACCTTTTTCTAATGTTGAAATATGATCAGTGAGAATGGGATGCGGTGTGATGTTCTCATCTCTAGGGATCTTCAGTATCCAGCTTGCTGAATTCTCTCTAGAAGAGAGTTCGAGTGGGAATTAAATTCATGGACAAATGGCCATTCTCTTGTTTGGTTCATTTGGCTTACTGACATGTCAGAGAATTGGAGTTAACCTAACCCTTGGGGTTAAAATTGAGTTAAACTTAATAAAAGTATATATTCTGTTACCTAGGGCCTTTGGAAGTATCTTTTGTATGTAAATTTGACCAAACAAGAAAATGTGACGAGTATTCCCACCAACCTCTGAAGAATATTTATGAGCTCCATGGAGTGTTTCACAAATTAGAAATTGGGGGTGCATGTCTGCAAAGTGGTATTCATTTAGCATCCATCCACCAAGCCTTCACATACTGCTGGGTGCCTGCTTTGGGCCCCCTGGCTTAGGTGGCTATACAGAAAGACCCCTTATCTCTAAGGAGGCGGAAGTGAGCAGCACTAGGGGAAGCATCAGCTGCTTCTAGGGGGAGCGGAGCCCTTATAAAATATTTTATGGAGCTTTTAATACTACTATTTATTTTTGCTGATGTTCTTTTACACAGTAGAGGTTAAATACCACTTCTTTGTCAGGTGCTTGTAATTTCTAAGATGTGTTGATAATTGTCTGTCCCAGCCAGTGTTCTAAGGACTTATGTATATGGTCTTATTGAGTCTTCACAGCAAGTTTATGAATTGGGCATGTTTCTTGATGATAAGAAAAGGTTTGGACGACTAAATTCCCTGGATGTTACATTGCTGGAAGCAGAATTTTATCCATCCCAGAATAATCTCATGTCTGCTCTTCTCTGTGAGGCTCTGGCACAGAGCATTCACCTGATATAGCCTGTCTTATGTGTGTGTCACTACATTGCTTCAGCATCTTTTCTGTTTTGTGGCATCTCCTTTCATCATCACCTCCAGCTTCAGGGACCAGCTGGCATACCTCTCTACATAGTAGGAGTAAGAATGGGAGTTTTCTCAGAGTTCAAAGGAAGAGAGAAGTGTAGTGTAAATCTGTGCTGTCTACTCCTACTCCAGGGCTCCCTCTGTAGATAGCTTTACTCATTAGGATATTTCTCTAGAAGGCTGAGGTTGTTTCTCTACTTGCATTTGAGAGTTTGGAATCCCTCCCTGGCTCAGGCCATCTGTTTTCAAAAGGGAGTATTTAGACAAGTTTCCTTCTGGCCAGTATCTTGCCTTTCTCTGAACTAAGTTCTTCCTTTATTCATCAAAAAAGGTGAAGGGCTGTTCTCATAGAGCATATAATGTAGCTGTCTGCACTGTAATTGTGGTATTTCACTGGAGACCCAGGCCATCCTCGATTCCTGAAAGGGGTCCTTTTGTTGGAGGTTGGTGTATGTATGCCCTCCATATTTGATGTCATTCCGAGGTAAATGCACACATTGTGGTTCACACCTTGTGAAGCCAGAAGCTTAAGGGTAAGTGAAATTGTAACTGTGGGTACTCTGCTCTAGAACTAGTTACATACTGCCTGTGAAAAGAAGCCAAACTATTGGCTTTTTCTTCTGTTGCCAAAAGATTAGGTAGATAAATTATAATTAAAAATATACACTATAGGGAACAAACCTAGAATGACATGAAAGATGACTGAGTCTGAGGCTAGGATAATTGAGTTCAAGGACACCAGGAGGAGCTGATTATATGTATTTTTAGTGGTTTTAGAGAGATTCACTGCAGGTGATGAACTTGGCTTTAAGCATTTCTGTTATGAGGTGACCCTCAAACATCTGAATAGTAATTTTCAGTGGAACATGGATCGGCATTAGAGAAGGTGGCTTCCCCTGAGGCAGCCACAAAGCAGTGCAGCAAGTTTTGGGAATGACTTTTATTAATGGACATAATCTGGACTAATGACTTTTAATTAACCCCAGCAAAACCATGTGCTCTTGGGTCTGATAACCAGGGTGTCTCCTAGGCAACCTGATTTTGGTATGCCACCCTAACAAATAATGAATGAATGTGGGTATGCTTGAGAGTTGACATATTGTGCGGCAAGCAGTGCATGCACTCTTGGACACAGTTGAGATTGGGAAAGGATACATGACCTTGGATGAAAGAGATACTGGGGATGAAAAGACGATGGTCTTCTAAGATTAAGACTGGAGCTGAACCTGAACTTGTACTTCCCCAATTAAGCTGGAGAAATCATTTTGAATAAATTGTGGGTATGGCCTGGGAGGTGACAGTTGGAGAAACAGGGTTCCAGAGTCCATTGGCACAGGGTAAAGGGAAAAGAGAAAGAGATAACCCATTCTAATAGGTAGCTAGGGTACCTAGTATCCAATATGTTTGGGTCCACTCTTAAAAATTTGAATCCATCTATTTGTTCAGGTGATTATGATGTTGATGTAATAAATGTCATGGTAAGTTTCCTTCCTTAGTAGGTACAGGGTGAGCTGAAAACCCAAACACACCTATGCAATGTTGCCATCTGGGCTTTATATCCTGAGAAGTTGGTGAAGGCAGGTCAAACTTCACATTTGCAGTCTCTGTGTAATTGAAGATATTTCAGGGCCTCAGAGTGATGGGCAGACCAAGATGAGTGGTACATGTATGACATCCCAGCAGCCTCATCCTGTGTACATAGTTTCTATGGGAATATGTTTTTGTGTGTCCCGTACCCTGCCCAGACCTCACTGTCTAGCCTTCCTACCAAGTTGTCTGTTGCCCCCTCCCAAATTCTCTTCCCATTCATGTTGGGCTAAATTGCTTTTGGTAGCTTGTGCCCAAGAGCTCTCGGTTAGTATAGATATCCCAAGCAGGATTCCTTGTAGCATATGGAGGTCTGATGTTCTAAATAGAGACTCTAGTTGGTGATAGATTTTACTTCACAGTATTTCTAACTCAGTGAAGTAGTATTCCTGTTCTCAGAGAGATGAGTAAAATAGTGTGCTAATATTGCAGAACAATTTCATTGCTGTGTGACCTCTGGCAAACGGAATTTTTTTTTTTTTTTTTTTTTTTTTTTTTTTTTTTTGGTCTTTTTGAGACAGGGTCTCCCTGTAGCCCCAGCTGTCCTGGAATTCACTATGTAGACCAAGCTGGCCTTGAATTCACAGAGATCCGCCTGCCTCTGCCTCCCAAGTGCTGCGATTAAAGGCGTGTGCCACCACACCACAAACGGCATTTTTACTTAAATGTCTAATAAGCATTCCATAATTATTGATACTGCCAGAAATACACTTCTTACTAGTCATTTTTTTAATGTGTATGAATGTTTTATCTGCATGTATGTGAGTGTACTGTGTGAGTAGTGGCTGTGGAGGCCAGAAGAAGGTATAGGATCCCCTAGATCCCTGGAGTTACGGATGGTTATTAGCCACCATGTAGGTGCTGGGAAATGAACCCAGATGCGGTGCACGAGTGGCCAGTACTCTTAACCACTGACCATCTCTTCAGCCCTCAGCAGTCATTCTTAATCTCAGAAGAAAATATGCTGTCTCTATTACCTCCAGTTCTTTAAGCAACAAACCTGAAAGCTATTTCCATTCCTACATATCACAGACTCTTCTATCCAGACCATCATGGGTTGGTAGAAGATACTGAACATCCTTTACTGTTTCTAATTTCAGTCCCACACCTGCAAGTTACCATCATGTCTTAATTCTTAAAAACTTACCTTGCTGCAGTTTTGTCCTCTTGCTATGTCTCCATAAAGTATCCCATTCTTTTTAAAGTCCCTTATTTGGAGGTCTCTCAGTGGCTTCAAATTGAACCAAAAGTAGAAATATGAACTCGTGGCTCTGATCTGCTGGACTATGCATACTTCCTTCCCTTCCCTGTATCTCCTGGTTCCTGTCACTTGCACACTCTAGCCAAGCTAGCCTTGCTCTCCCTCCCTTTGCTGCTGTACACTCCCCTAAGTTTGGGGAGCTGCTGTTAGCACCTTCATTCTGACCTGTAAGGATCGTTTCAAGTCCTCTTCAGGGAGGCCTCACTGCCTATCAGAGCATCCTCATGCCCTCCCTTATGCCATACCGCTTTACTTTCTTCATGGAATATATTCTAGTGTTGTCTAACTTATTTGTGGGATTGAGCATTGCCCATCCCCCCTAGACTGTCACTCATTGAAGCCAGGGATCTTGTCTCCTCACTTTCTACTTTCTTCCCAATGCCTAGAAACATAATAGATGCTTGAAAGGTACTTGCTGATAGTGAGATCATAAATACTGAAATTACTTATCATTTTAAGCTATAGTGTATCATATGAAATGTCTTTTTCTAGGATGTTGAAAAGATTAGAATAGTGTATATAAGCATAGCAAAGTGCTTACCATATAGTAAATGCTCCATAAATATTTCTGTCAGTTGTTTTTTGTTATCATTGAGTTAACAGTATATAAATTTATATGAATACATGGTCAAACGTTCCTACTTTTGCTTAAGGTACTATTTAGAGTGCTTAATGAAGTTTGCACATTTGCCTACAAGACATCTGTGATGAACTTTATAGGTCATTCCTAAAATTACCAGGGAGCAACTTCAAACTCTTACCTCCTCCCCTCAGGAAGATGTCTCAAACTCTTGGTAGAAAATATATATGCACTGTTTGAAAAGTTCCTCTGGGTGATGTCAATATTCTTACTGTCATGGAAACTAAAGGAAAGAACATATAAGACACCAACATGATGTACCTAAGATCCAAACCATTTCCAGATTTAAGCAGGTGTGCTCAAAGCAGAGAGGCAAGATAGGCAGTCAGCTGGAGAACTTTATGCATATTGAAGGCCTGGTGCCTGGATGATCTAGAGACTGGTCTCCAGAGGCCCAGGCCAGGCATCTTATAACTCATGTCAAGTAACAGTGAGCTTGACTTCCTCTGCCTAGGTAACAAGAGCTATCACACATGTGACTTTAGAGTTTAACCTCTTGATGCAAATGGAAGGGAATGGGGGATCATTATCCAGGTTGGCCTGTGATTACTTTTCATATTAAGGCTAGCATTAGCTCCAGAGCATGTGTGTCTTTTCTAGGAAATCAGCTGGGGATACAGTCCTAGAGACAGGAGAGTTTGTGGGAACATTGGAGGATAGTGTTATAAGGGAAATTAAAAATCTGAGACTTTCCTGAGTGCATGCATTTCTTGTGACTGATTGTTCCCAGAGATGTGTACAGGCCACAGCAATAAAAAATACAAGGGCAATCCTGTGCCATTGCTCAGTTCCAAAAATTGTAACAGATTGCTTCTCAGAATCTAGTGCAGATAAATTTTCTATTAAAATGAACTTAAATTATGTTTTAAAGATATATTTCATTACTATATGTTTAATCATGCACACAAACATGCATGCGCACATGTGCACGTGTACACACACATACATATACTTGGTTCAATTTAGAATCTTATATTCACTAACCTCCGATTTTAGTTGAAAGAAGTATGGTCTAATGAGGTCTTCTTTTCTCTTGTTTTAATATTAGTGGTGCCACCTGTCCCTATTCTGAAATCAACTTGAATAAAGACCGCATTTTCCCAGACCGTCTAAGTGGTGAGATGCCTCCATCGAGTCCATCATTTCCAAGAAATAAAAGGACAGACACAAATGAAAGTTCGTCATCTCCTGAAACCAGGTAATTAAGGCACACATTGCTCAGACTTTTTAAAAGCGCTCTGACCGTAAGTTCTCATTGCAGATATTTTATGCTTTCTGGCAGTGTTTTCTTGTGGATTGTTAGAAATGTGTTTGATTTACCCAGATGTGTGCTCCTGGAATCATAGTACCTGGAAGGTAGAGACAGGAGGATCAGGGGTTGAAGGTCATCCTCAGCTGCATAAATTTGAGGCCAGCCTGAGCTACCGGAGACCCTGCCTCAAAAACAAAACCAAGCAACAAGAACAAACCAAAAGCTTACTGTGAAACAATTGTAGAGATTCAGACTTGGAAACTCCCCTTCATCAGATCTAACTCACATTTTCCCAGAAGGTCAAAGTGCTTTCTATCTCCCTGAAGTCCTTAAACCCTTAATGGAAACTCAAAGTAGTAACATCTCAGCTACTCTAGAGGCAGAAGCAAGAGAGTCCTGAAGTTTGACATTAGTCTGCCAACACAGTGGGATATCATCTCAGATAAATAAAGTTTAACCTTCAGTTGGCTGTGACTCAAAGCTGGAAGTGCTGTCTTTAGAGGAGGTAGACAAGAGTCTGCTTTTTTCTCAGTGTGCTTCCCTCTTTAGGAAAACCTGGAACCGGTGACACAGCTGGTAATACTGCGTTCTGAATTGTGTGTGTGTATGTACATTTTAATAATTGGAGTGCATCTTGTTTGATTATGAGGAAAATGATGAGAGGTATTCATGTCTAAGTCTTGGAGGATACTGATTGAGTCACAGTGACCTGCTTCATGCTCAGATCATGCAAGCATCAGGAGTGTAAGGGGCACACTCCTCGTGGTGTAAAGAGGACTTGATATTTTTCGATAGAGAGCCCGAAGCCTTGTTTTGAGGGTCCAGGGTTGTAGAGGGTTTTTTGCTTTAGTTGTAGTTTTTCTTTTTTTCAAAAAAATATTTTATTTATTTATTTTATTTATGTAAGTACAGCCATGTCATGAAATGCTTACAGTCAGAAGAGAGTATTAGATTCCCCTGAAACTGGAATTATGGATGGTTGTTAACCACCGTGTGGCTGCTGGAAATCAAACCCAGGTCCTCTTCAAGAGCAGCTAGTGCTCTGAACTACTGAACCATCTCCTCAACCCCGTTAATTATATTTTTTCAGCTGCCACTTTCTGCATCAGCTTTAGCCTGAGTCATCGTTTTAATATGTAAGACATGAGAAAGAGATAAGATAAAAACTTTACAACTGCGTGTATAGAATTCCATATTTCTTCCCACATAACCAAGATACAGTAAGTCAGTTCCATTTGGGGAAAATCAACAGCATACCACGAGGTTAAAATAAAAATGATTATGCCGGGTTGGAGAAATGGCTCAGTAGGTAAAGTGCTTACTGTGCAAGTACGAAGACCTGATTTCAGCTCCCCAGCACTCATGTAAAAGCCAGGCACACGTCTGTAACCCTAATGCTAGGAAATGGTGACAGGTGTATCCTGGAACTTCCCTGGCTAACCAGTGTAGCAGAACAGCAAGCTCCACATTCAGTGAGAGACCCGTCTCAAAAAATAAGATGAAGAGCAATAGAGGAAGACACTAGACATCTACCCCATATGCACAGGCACATGCGAGCTCACCTCCCACATACATACTACCACCACCACCCCACCCCTACACACAGTTAAAAAAAAAAAAAAGAAAGAAAAAAAGAAAATGATAGGTGTTTGGACAGATAGATGAACAGATGAGAGGGATATGACTAAACCACAGTGGGTGAACTTGCACTGTGGAGTGTCTGGGGACACTGACGACACAGTGGGCCTTAATACCCAGGACAGAGTATATGGGGGTATATAGACAGAGTATATAGTTCCCAATGGGGGGGACTATGGGAGAGTGCTGGTGCAGACGAAGGATTATGAACTTTCTGCTTAATTAAAAATTTAATTCCTTAAATCCTAGAGGTAGTAAATTATCTCATGTTCATTAAAAGCTTGTATGATTCCTGGCAGAAAAACAAAATTTTTGTGAAAATAAATTATTATAAATATTTTTAAAAACTTTTATTGGTGCTGTGCCAGCTTTTATGCAAGAATAGTTCTTATTTCTTCTAGACATTTTCCTCAAATGTTACTTTCCTGAGTAAATAGTGATGCAAACCTTTTCCTGATTAGTTCTTTCCTACTGACAGTTCAGAAGACACAAGACAATGAGGGGCAGTAAAACGTTGGATGTAGAAAGTTGAACTGAGCTTTCTCCAACTTTCCCCTCCCCTCAGCTGTTACCCTTTTCTCTGTCCTGTCTGAGCTCTTGCTCTAGCTCTTCCCACCATGGGAAGTGGCGTAACAGAGTAAGTGCGTACATAGACACTGCTGAGACCAAGTCTTGGCTTCCCTACATGCTATGTATATGACCTTTGATTAGTCACCTTTTGCTTTGAATCTATTGCTTGTGAGGATGATATGAGGGGAAAAGTAGAAGTGGAAAGTGATTAGAATGATAATTAATAAGCATAAAGCCCTCACTAAATGTTAGTTTTTATAAGCATTGCTGAAGAGTAGATTACTTATTTGTTTCATAGTCCTGACTGAGTGTCCTTTACCCAAAATGCTTGGACATCAGTGTTTCAAATTTGAAATTTAAAGAAAAATGTTATCTTAGCCTAGACTTTACAAATTGGACATTCCTAACCTGAACTGCTCCAAAATCACTCAAGAAATTTCTAGTTTGGGTATATTTTGGATTCTGGGTTAGAAATGTTCAACCTGTAGGCTATTCTTTCTAAGAGCACAAGCACGGCTTGGCAATTTCTATGGTACTGGTTTGCAACTAGATGCTCTTCATAGTGTCCAGTCAAGTTCTCGTCTCTTCCAGTAAAAATCGTTCATCTTACACACTAGCAAATTACCTGTCTATTCTTCTTAATTTATAAGAATTTGGCTGCCATTCTCTACTATTTTAATGCACTTTTTCACAACAAGAGATAATTTATACTCCAGAGGAAAGCACGAGATAGGGATTTGGTTGCAAATGGTTTACTTGGGAGGTAAAGAAAGCATTGTTAAGCAAGTGGGACTGAGGTGAAGGGAAGGCAGTCAGAAGCTGCTTACTTATCACACCAGTTACCACTGTGGGCAACATGGCACAAACCTGCTGTGAGTACTCCTGGATATGTATAAACCTCACATCTCAGAGCCAGCCTCACATACAGATGATGGAGTAGAACTAGTCACGCACCAGTTCCTTTCTGAGTCCTACAAGAGAGCAGTGCAGCTGAAGCAAGTGGACATCAGGCCTGAGTGTGCTGAAGTGGTAGCTAGTGCTCAGGCTCTATATCAGTAGTAACCACTATGCCATTCCATTACCCATTCACCTGTTCCAAATGCCAGAAAGGTGCCTAAATGAGTGATGTGCTGATAATTGGTTTTGGTCCAGGAGCTACTCTGACACATCCAAAGATAAATGAACAGTACAAATTACAGTATATCCTTTTCATACCATAGCAATATTTTAGGTGCCACCTTTTGACATAGGCCCATGGGCGATTAGTGTTCCATGGAGAGACTGTCCAAACTGGGCTTCTTGTCAAATCCCCTACAGTGTCTATAAAATTTCGATTTAGAGACTTGAACCAACTCACTAGAATCTTCTAGGCTAGAGCCTTGGAGTCTTCATCATAAAAAATTCCCCTGAGAGTATAATATCTACTCCACTACTCAAAACTTTGAGTGGTGGGGCTGGAGAGATGGCTTAGTAGTTAAGAACACTGGCTGTTCTTGTAGAAGACCCGGGTTCGAATCCCAGTACCCACATGGCAGCTAACAGCTGTCTGTAACTCCAGTTCCAGGGGATCTGACAGCGTCTTCTATTCTCCATGGGCATTGCACAACACAGGTGCACTTACTTACATGCAGGCATAACACTCATACATATAAAATAAAAATAATAAAATATTTAAAAAAAAACTTTGAGTGGCTTCCCATTATTTCATATTGAGACCTTAATTCCTAATGTGACTCACACAGAGCCTTAGCCAGACTCTTTCCTCAACCAAATGTTTAAGCTGTTCTTAGTCCTCAGATGTCCCTTTGTGCTTAGAGGCTCTCTCCATCTTTCTGCTAACTTCTCATCCTTCAGGTCACTGCCCTTTCCTCTGAGAAGCCTTGTCTGATCTTGCAGCCTGTGAATCAAGGCCCTCATTTTGTGTTTTCATATCTTCTGATGTTGTGAATCTTTAAAGTGCTTCCTCAGAGCCTGTGTACTTTGCTTGATAAGTTCCATCAAAGTAGAGGCCACACTTATATTTCTGTCTTGATTTTCCCTCAGCAAGGAACATACTACCTTGCATCCATTAAGGGTGCAAATGCTTCTTCAAAGGAGACATGCCACTTACATGACTTAAGAGGCAATTGCTATGTAGCTTACTCTTTGCTCACATAAAATTCCTACATTTTCAACTCCATATGAAGACCACACCATATGTCTAAGGTGTGATTACTAAGTGAGATAGATTCTGCAAATACATACCTGTACTCTGATAAATTAGAGTAAGACTTCTTTACTTGTTAAACTTCCTAGCCTGCATAGATTGGTAAAATACCGTAGAAGGAACAACATTGTATGGCAAACCAAGGACATGGATGAGACTGCCTCAAAAGGTGCCAGGACCACTATCCTAGAGCTCTTGTTCCTGGGATTAAGGTCTTTTTGTCAGTGTTCTGAATGTGTGAACCTGTTTTCCTGTAGATACTGGCCAAATAGGTGTGAGCCAATCCCTAGACCATTGTAGAGAAATAGAGTCCATGAAGTCCTTGTCTACATACCCATTCATCCCATCTGTCAGAGCGTAGAGAGCATCAGCTGTGCATAGAGCTTGCTGTGAGGTGGCATCCTCACTTTGGATAGCACAGCTCATCACTACCCTCTTGTTGCCCCTGACTACAAGATGGCACCTTAAAAATATTTTTAATTTATTTTTATTATTTATTTGATGTGTTATGAGTGTTATGGCTGCATGTATG